ATTTTTGTTATGCTCTAAGAATCTAGACCAATTAATGTTATTGATTCGTTGCTAGTATCGTTGTGCAAATCGGCGAAGATGTTAAAATGAAAAATTGTAAGCAAGTCTCCTTCAATCCACGGTTTTATTCCCTGACGTAATTAGAGGTTTGTACAAACTTTCATTTTTGGTTGGAAAGGAATGACTGTGGCTGTATAAACACATGATACAGTCGAAAGTCGAAAAGGTCAGACGCGTTGTAGGCTTTTCTGTCTTTTGATTAGTTTCCAATTTTTCTTCTAAGAAATAAGAGGAAAAAACACTGATAGAATCTCAAAAGGTAGGAAAATTGTTGGCATTTAAAGTGTTCCCACCCTTCTTTAGCTTAGCTCCTTTGTTTAGAAACTTTTTCTTCGTTTAATAAATAATATATTTACAATATGCTATTACACTTCCCCTTCTAGAAACTATATTTGAACAGATCACTTCCCGACCAATAGGTATCAAGCCCGTAATAGTTACGATGTTATCCAGTCCAGGGGCTGGTTGGTCCTGCAAGCTCTGTCTCCAGGACAATAACATGTTATGATCTTCAGGATCCCGACACGGTAACCAAATGGCCCTGATACGGCACCATTAAAAGTTCGGACAGCCCACCGGAGCCAATCTCGATCATCTCTGTACTGTGTGGTGCATATCCCACATTGTTGAGGGGTGGGATTGATGATTGCTAGATTCATAGCCCCTTGTCGAACCACCCTCTCCTCTGATTCGGCTTCAGGGTGGAGAAAGTGAAACTTTTCTAATTTCCGTTGTCCTAATATATCATTTAAGCTCCGGGATATTTTTGGGGGCTTCCAAGGCATACAATAGGAAAAGAGAAGCTGATGGATATGTACAAACGGTCCGAGTCTCTACATATCCAGAAAACCTTCAAATGATCGGCGATATTGTTCACCCTTGGCCTGGCCAAGGGTGGGGGTAAATTCTAAAAGCCTCTAGGCCCTTAACATATTGCGAATATATATTCATGCACAAAACATCAATGTAATTCACGATCCGAATCACCACATGAACAGGAAACCTTCAAATAGTCGGCGATATTGTTCCTGCTTGGCTTTGCCAAGGGCAGGAGTGAACCGAAAAAGACTTTGGTTCATTTTTGCTTTTCGAAAACGTATTACTTCTTGATAATTTGTCTCTATATATGAGCTATTCCCCCTTCACTTTTGTTTTCTTCAACCTTACCATCACCACTTCTTATACAACTTTACTGTTAGTACTACAATCTTTCTGTTTTCAATCATTATTCTCACTCTGTTCCACCAGCACTATAACTGATTTGAATACCGAGACACCCATTGCAGTCGCAAGTACATCACAAATATACTTCCCAATCCTTCAAGTCGAATGTCCCACGCTAGTCCTAACGATTCTCAGTGCTCGGGCTGGAAGTCATGTCGGCACAGATTGTACACGACAACAACGGCCAAGATTGCAGCTCATGTTTCCTAACAACTATATACCTCCGACTGCTATAAGTAGCGATCACCCTACTGATGGCTTGCTTTTTCAACTTAATCCTCAAGGTAACGATGGTCGAGCCAAATGCACAGTCCGCCTTTCCAAACTAGCAACTTCTTCAGCTGATAACATTCAATATACAATGAGGTTTCAGTTCTGGGGTTGTATCCAAGATCTATTCAATATTGTGAGAGACGTGTTTGGTGAGGGAAATCATATGTTTAGATACCGTTTGTCTCACGATAGACGTTTTTTGTATGGTGGTGGAGATTTTTGGTAAGCTTTTATGTTCAGTAGTCAATATCTTGTACTAATATACAAGCAAGGCTCCAGGTTCTTATCCGATGCTATCAACAGCAATTAATCCTTCCTACGAATATCGAAGGGACCTATTACTTCTGGAAAGCTTTCCAACATGAATGGACTTTTGAAGAGGAAGGTGTCTTACGCGCTATAAAAAAGGGTCGGTTCCACGACGAGGGAGATCGACAGCTTTCCGTGGCCATTCAAGTTGGAGACGTTGTTCAAGAAGTTGATATGGGTTATGAGGCTTGAGTCAGAGAGGGTTGGGATAGGCAATGACTGATAATTGGGTTGCGTGATTCTTACACACTTGGACTATACAGTCTTTACACAAATGAGAACATCCTATTTTTCAAAGCATCATAATTTCTCCAATATTGCAAGTGAAGCTCTAAAGTTTGAATCAATGATTTCTGCCCATCTGTACCTCAACATGAAGTACTAGGTATATGAACATATTCGATAAATGTACTAGGTGATCAGTGCAGGTTCTGCGCTTGACTTAATTAGGCTTAAGTTTAAACAGTCCATGGAATTTTTAAGATGTACGAAAAGCAATGTAGTATAGTAGCCTCGCATGGTTTAGTTTGGTTACACCTCGGCTTGTTGCATCTCAACAAGATGTATACTACGATTTGTACCTCTTCGATAAGGGTCTTTTCTTATATCACTTGCGAAGCTTCTCTTTCAAAGTTTCTCTTCCAAAACTTCTCTTCCTTGAGAAATACGTTCTACTATGGCCGATAGAGCTGATCGATTAGCAAAAGCCCAAAGATTATCTTGTGAGCTTTGTGATGACGATATTTTGACAGCTATCAATACATTCTTGAGAACAAAGTGGCAGAAAGCGAACTTTGGTTTGCCTAATAAAAATCCTATCTTGTGGATTAAATTCGCAAATAAACATGGATTTGAACGTATAGAAATGGAAGCACGAAACCAGCAATATATTTTCGATACGGTTGAGAGGTTTTACCAGAAGGACACTAAGGAACAACTAAGATTACTAGCAACTGCTGGTATATACAAAGATGAGCAAACCCGACCGCCTAGGGTTCGAATACCTAAGCTTTTCCGTGTTGTACGCACAGCAGAATTTAGGGCACTTGTTATGGAATTTGTGCCTGGCCAAACCTTGGATAGCCTTATGCGTCTAAAGTACAACGCTACTGGAGAGTCGTTCTATTGGTATCCAACTCCATATTCCTACGATCTCTCACTATTTGAAGAACACTTGCATGATTATGCCAATGCCATCGGTGTGCTATTGTCACTACCAGTTCCTGATAATGCCGCCCCAGGTCCAGTAGGTGGCGGTTACTCCAATCACCCGATCTTTGAGAATTGGAGCACTGAGGAAAACCGGGCGCCAGTTATGTACACATCGGTTGAGGAACTTACCAAACATATCAATAAGGTAAATGAAAAGCATTCACAAAGATATTGTTGTATAAAAACTTACGTAAAATAGCTAGTTCTTTCACGACTTCCATCTAAAGCCAAACTAGCCGATTTTTCCAACGAGCCTTTATGTTATGTTTTGAGCGATCTTAATAACGGAAATGTTATTTTTTACAATAAAGAGATCTTTTTAATTGATCATCTTGATGCTGGAATTATGCCATTATCTTTTATGACAATTGTTGCGGACCTTGGTCGAAATATATCCAAACATCTTGTTAAACATTTGAATCTTCCAAGAGACAATCAGGATGCGTTAACATATGTCCAAGGTGCTTTCTGGCCTTCATCGGATGATGAGGATGACGAGATTAATGGATGAAGGGGTAGATTCCAAAAGGGGAAGGACAGAAAGCTATTTAGTCATGAAGGTTTATTCTTTTTCAGTCATGGTAGAATAATGGCTATTGCTTCTTGTTCTGCACAAAAGTTAATTGATTATTTGAATTATTTCTTAAGTCTCGTCAAGTCTTGCACTTGGATGGCACCCAAGGTCCGATGGGGAAGAGCAACCATCATTCTTCATCCTCAGTATCATCTCATCTTCCTTTGGTTCTCTTGGAATGCGTTTCTACTTTTTTGCCAGAGTATAAGTTCATCAAGGTTTTGTTACAGCGTTTGATATCGTGCCATCTGAAGTGAAGGTAGCGACCTTTGCATGATTCTCCGGATCAAAGGAACCAAGATGAGAGAGTGCTTTCTTGCACTCACTTCAAACATTCAACAATAATAGATATCATGAAGCGTTCCTACTCTCAAAGCAACCTTCATCAAGAGCAAGATACTTCCGGTAAAGTCTGCTGGTTCCACATTTGTTTTCATAGCTGATTACGGATAGCGCTGGATTCCAAGCATTGCAAGAAGAAACGCTCGTTGTCAGCCTCCGAAGAAATCAGTGTCAATTCTGTCGAGCCATCCTCCAAACGTCCTAAACTCACAGAAAAGAACTTGCACCTCTGCGAAATGCAATCCTCCACTACTCAGTTCCAATCTCAACGATCTCATCCACCTACTTTGTCAACTACCAAGACATCACGATCGAACTCGATACCTACAAGCGATTCGATGTTTGGTAATGCTGCCAATACCAATCACATCAACGACCCTATCACTTCCACTGAACCTGCCAATCTCGACGATTGGAAAGAAATAATCAACAGAAGCCGTGATACGGCTTCTCCGGACGAAAAAGAGTATATGAATTATTCCTACAATATCTTTACTGCCGAGAGCGAAGCTACAATCATTCACCACCAAAGTGGAAAGTTATTAAAAGAATATGACGTCTCCGAAAGCAAATATCGAAGACCTTCAGCGAAACACTATGCGAGGTTCCACCAAATCTTGGATTCAATAATAATCTGTCGCATGCGCAGCCTGATCTCTTGGAGGGATATGATCTATCGGCGTTCCGACCATTTGAAGCCAGAGAAGAACTAGGCGGGACGGCTGTACTCAAGCGTGGTCCAAGTGCTACTACACTACCGCACTTTGCTGGGGAATTGAAGGGTCCTGGGAAAAGTTTAAAGAAAGCAGACATGCAAGCAGCTTACGATGCTGCGATTATGGTACATGGAAGAAAGAGGAGGAGGGGTGGGGGATGGCCGACCGACAACGCGCCATGCGTAACGTTGCATGTATCATATGAGTAGGGATTGTGTATGGATGAAAATGCACAGGGGAATAATCCCACTTTTTAATTTCTTGAGGTAATAAAATTATGTGGCTTGTCATGTTCTGTGGCGTTTCGCGTAACTCGAATTCCCCTTACATGCTGAAATCGCTTACATAAATATGAATTGGATTTCTTTTATCCTGAAAGAAAAAAACATGAGAACAATGATGTCAATAGGTCGACCTCCTGATTCTGTCAGATTTCCTCTTGACACCTTGACTATGTTTAACCAAATAGTAATTCTTCATTGGAGGAATACCATACGAACCACTCATATCAAATGTTCAATGGTTATCCACTTGAGTGCTATAAGGAGGATACCTGTACTTGGTTCGACAGGCTGATCTCAGTGTCACAGTATACAGAGATAGAATATCAAGATGGTCTTATTGGAATTTAAGTCATTCGTAATTCTTAACTGAAATACCCCCCCCAACCCCAAAACCTCCAACCCTGGAGCATCCCAATCAGAAAGCCCAATGGTTGATTGATTGATTGATTTAATTTTCGTCCATCTTCAGTCTAAGACTATATAGGACGGCTAGACCCTATAGGCACTAGCAGATAACTTTTTGATTTTACAAAAATAGATATGTTCGATTTGGGGAAGTGAAAA